ATCAAGAGAATGTGACTGGAGTTCCAGTCGTTGAAGAACGTGGAGTTCTTAGTTGATCCACAGGAGATAGACGAATTCATAACATCGAGAGTTGCTGTAGGAGCGCACAATCCAGGAGAGCTTTGAAAATGGTAGCTAGGAGTTGGTGCATGAGCATGAAATTCAGGAGAGCCTTGGGAATTACAGTCAGAAGTCAGAAAGCACTAGTAGTAGTCGAGTCTTATAGACTATAAGTTTTAATTCGTTTATAGAGGATTGTTGATTGGCAAAGTGCCCGAAGTTTTTACCCAATTGGAGTTTCTCCGTGATCATTTTTTGTGTTTGTTATTGTTTTCAAATAACTGCGATATTTCAACATAGGAAATTAGATTGTTTGATTAAACATTTAGAGAAAATTAATAGTAACTTGTTGCTAGTTAATTATTAATTTTTTAATTCCACATAATCACTTATTCACCCCATCTAGGAATAGTTTGGGTCGAACTTCGTTATTTCAATTGGAATTAGAGCTTTATTTCGATTCACGGCCCTTAATTAATTCTAAATGAGTTAGTCTTTGTTTGTGCCTTCGTTTTTTGACGAAAGCAACTATGCTTATTGGAAAGTTCGAATGAGAGATTTTCTTAAAGCATTGGATGGGCGTATTTGGATAAGCGTTCAAACTGGGTGGGCTGCACCTTCAACTACTGTTGCTACTGTAGCTGAGTGTTACTCGAATAGTAAGGGCATTCATGCCCTATTCATGGTTGTGTCTATTGAAGAGTTTAGGAGAGTATCAATGTGTGAAAGTGCTAAAGATGTTTTGGATATATTAGAAACCACACACGAGGAAGGAGAAGGTCTAAAGCCAAGTCAGGAATGTCTACTAAATTAATGAGAGAAGAAACTGCTTCACGTGTTCCTCCTAGACTACCAGCCCTAGGTGATTATTTTCCCAAGAGATTCTTCGACAACGAATATTTTACCTCAAATGCTATTAACGTGGAGGATAAAAATGAAGCAAAGAACGTATTGAAAGAAATTTCAAAACAGTAGAGAATTGTCTCACAACTCAATAATATTCCTTCCAATACGAGTTTGGTAGAGTCTTTTTGTCTCCCTTTCGATGATCGAATGGCCTTAGTAGCGGTGGCATTGATTGATCCGAAAGACTACGAAAACTAAGTTTTGAAACATATTAGCTCCACAACCTGACAAGACTGTATGGCCACCATTACATTTGATGATGAAGATTTACAATTGGGTTCTCATTTACATAATAGACCACTGTATGTTAGTGGTTATATTCGAGAATGTCGAATAAAATGCATAATGATCGATTGTGGATCTGCTATAAGTAGATGAAGAAAATTGGATCTGTCCTGGAGCAAGATCATGATTCAGGGATTCAACCAGAAATGTCAACGAGCCATTGGCATTATTCATTTGAAGCTGTGAATAGGAAAGTTAATTTCCTTAGCTCTCTTCCATGTCATTGATGCTAAAACATCGTACGAATTATTTATTGGACGTGTTTGGCTACTTGAAAATGGAGTTGTACCTTCGAGTCGGCATCAATGTTTCAAATACAATCGAGATGGAGAAGTCAAATGTGTGNACATTGATTGATCCGGAAGGATACAAAGACAAAGTGTCAAAACATATGGCTCCACAACCCGACAAAACTGTATGGCTCCCATTACATTTGATGATGAAGATTTACAATTGGGTTCTTGTTTACATAATAGACCACTGTATGTTAGTGGTTATATTCGAGAATGTAGGATAAATTGCATAATGATCGATTGTGGATCAGTTGTAAACATCATGCAAGTCAAAATGATGAAGAAAATTGGAATTAATGCTCGTGATCTATCCAGGAGCAAGATCGTAATTCAGGGATTCAACCAGAAAGGTCAACGAGACATTGGCATGATTCATTTGAAGTTGCAAATAAGAGAGTTAGTTTCCTCGGTTCTCTTCCATGTCATTGATGCTAAAACATCATACGAATTACTCATCGAACATGTTTAGCTACATGAAACTAGAGTTATATCTTCGACTTGGCACCAATGCTTCAAATATGGTCGAGACGGAGAAGTCAAATATGTGGTAGCT